TAGGAGAGGCTGCAGAATCACAGTGCTGGGGAGCTTCAACACTAGTGAAGGCGACAGGAAGCCGTTTTGACCAAACGGACCAATTCTGAATGCTTCGCACTCCCTTGGCTGGCTGTGAGCAGGGTAGACGTCAGGGACGACAGAGGGCAAACCAGAAACTCGAGAAGTAGAGCGAGTGTTAGCTGCTGTCGTGTCTGCCTCTGCGACCCCGTGGACTGTAGCCCGCCAGGCTCCTCTGTCCATGGGATTCCTCAGGCAAGAACACTGGAGTGGGTAATCATTCCCTTCTCCAGGGGATCTTCCCAATCCAGGGATTGAAACTGGATTCAAACCAGGTTGAAACCAGACTTTACCATCCCAGCCACCAGGGAAGCATTCAGTAAAAATCTGCCCAAATAGTGTAGACCAGGGGTGCCCGATCTTTTGGTACCAGGGGCCGGTTTCATGGGAGACAATTTTTCCACAGACCAGGGGTGGGAGGCAGGATGGTTTCAGGACGATTCACGCTCGTTACATTTGCTGTGCACTTTGTTTCTAATCTGACGCTGCTGAGGATTCTCAGCCCAGAAGCTGGAGATTTCGGTCTCAAGGATGCGGAGCAGTATGGGCCTGGACGAGGGCAGTGGCCATGAAGGCAAAGAGGGGACCATGAAACACAAGAGATATTTAAGAGGTGGAATTCAAAGAGAAAAAACTACTGCAACCTTGACAAGCAGCCCTAGCAGTGACATATTCTTGTGGATTCAGTTCCTGCTGGGTGACCTTTTTCACGGAAAGAGCAGCAATGCTACCTGCTGTTCTAAGGCTGTTTTGATTTGAGAAATTGAACATTAGAGCTTTTAGTGCAAACTCTAAGTGGCTGTGTGTCACCAACAGAGGGGATTAGCCCCGAGAAGCTGAGGTTTTAGCAGCCAGGTGACCGTTAATTCCTGGTCACAGTGCTCACAGCTCAGGGGGGCTGGGTTGTCAGGTGCTGAAAACTGGAAGCAACAGGGTATCTTCATTAAGAAACTGAGCTTGGTGTCAGCCAGGCCTGGGTCTGAATTCCAGATTTCCTGTTGGCTTCAATTCTTGTTTCTGAACACTGTCTATGAAATAGAGATTGGCCTCCCAGGTGATTCAGTGGTAAAGAATCCACCTGCCAATGCAGGAGCCTCGGGTTTGACCCCTGAGTTGGGAAGGTCCCCTGGAGAAGAAAATGGTAACCCACTCCAGTATTCTTGCCTGGAAAATTCCATGGAGCCTGGCAGGCTACAGTCCATGGGGTCACAAAGAGTTGGACATGACTGAGCACGCATAGGCATCTAAAATAGAGATTAGAGTACCTATGACCTAAGGTTATTTGGATTAAATGAGATACTTAAATTCACACATAAGTGATGGAGCTAAGATTCCACCATAGAGTTAGCTGATAAAAGTCAACACCCTCTCTTTTCCCTTCTTTCCTTTTTATATTTAATATATGCAGCATTGTTTTCATTACTTTTTAAAAAGCTACACTTTGTTTCTATTTCCCTGTTAACCCAAGGGCTGTTTATTTCAGAGACAGCTTTTGAAAAATCCATGAAGAAAGGCTTTCTGGGCTTTGGTTTTGTTATTGACTTCCTAGTTTTACTCTAAAATCATTAGAGGATATTGTCTGTATTATTTCTGCCTTATGGAACTTACAGAATTTTTGGTGACTTAATCTATGGTTAATTTGGGCAATGTTCTATGTGGATTTGAAAAGAAAACTATTCTTTATTATCAGGGTACAAAGACCGTGATGTACCCAGACCTCCCTTAACTATGCTGCTTGGGGCTTTAGTACCTTTATTTATCTTCTGTCCAGCGGCCCTGTCTTGGGTTGAGAGGAGTGTGCTGAACTACTCAATATTCGTGTGCTTCTATTTCTTCTCGCTTTTCATGCAGATTTTGCTGTAGAGGTTGCTGCTGTGTGACGATATGCTGAAGACTCTGTTCCTGTGAACTCTGACCTTAAGCATAAAGCAGCCCTTCTTCGTCTTGCTTTGTGCTTTTCAGTCTCACTTTACCCTGTCATGTATCAAGTTAAATTGATGCTTTTTTTGTTTGTTTTTGCTGTTAGTTTGCATTTGTTTTGTATAATCTGCCAGCCCTACACCATATTTCTTTTTAAACATTTTTTTGACTGTGCCACATGGCATGCATGATCTTAGTTCCCAGACCAGGCATTGAACCTGCATTTCCTGCACTGGAAGCTTGAAGCCTTAACCACTGAATCACCAAGAAAGTCTTGCGAAGTCCATATTTTTGAATGGTATATTATACTCTGCCTAGCACGTGACTTGAGTTTCACAAAGTATTTGTTGCTTTTTTCTTTTCTTCTCTTATTCAACCAGGGTCACCTAGTCTTTTTTTTTTTTTTTCAGTTTTAATGAGGTATAACTGAAAAAATTATAAGATATGTAAAGTTTACATCATGGTGATGTGATACACAGATTTCCTGTGAAAGGTTAATTTACCGTCGGCAGTTTTGGATCTGTTTGGACAAAAATCCCCTCCTGGACCCTCTGGCTTAGCTGGATTCTCATTTGCAGTCACACCCTGCTGGTTCTCACACCCCAGAGGACAGACTTTCCCTCACTATGTAGGAGCCCCTACATACACTTATCAGTGATCAACTTGAAGAGCACCAACATAAAAGTCTAAAAAATGGGAACTATATTCAATATCCTGGGATAAGTCATAATGGAAAAGAATACTAAAAAGAGTGTATATATGTATAATATAACTGAATAACTTTGCTATATAGTAGAAATTAACACAACATTGTAAATCAACTATACTGCAGTAAAATAAACCTTTTGATCTAAAGCCTGATGTCTCTCCAACGATTGTTTAACAGGTAATTAAATGCTTGGGAGAAATGTGGCCACATGTAAGTCCACAGTTGAAAGGAACCCTAGACATTGTCTCAAACCCTCTCCCCAATGCATTAACCACTTCTATGACAGCTAAAGTTTTCTAGTCTCTGTATTTTTCTGGTAATGGTAAACTAACACTGTCACCCATTCTATGGGAACAAGATGAAAGCCCAGTTGTATCATATACTAGTTATGAAGACAGGAACTTATATAAGCCCCGAGCCTCAGTTATCTTTATCTGTAGAATGGGGATGATGACTGAGACTCAGAGGTCTAAGCATGGTTACAGATTCAAGGACTAGGTGGAAAATGTGAAGACCCAGGCAGATAATGAACTGAATCCCTTAAGTGTAAGGTATTAGGACTGATGAGAAGAGCTCTTCTCTTCTCAAAGGAGAGGTCTTTTCTGGGCTCTTACAGATTAGAGCCCTGCCTGCAGCAATGTAGGCCTAAGGATATCACTAGATCTTCTAATTTTTCTAGAAAAGCACAAATCTGGCTTTTTAACATGAAATTTCACAACTAGTCAATGTGGCAACTAATTCACAGATGTCTTTGCAACCCTAGATAGACCATTTAAAAAAACATAACTGTAGGCTAGACACACCAGAAGGCGGGCACTTTGCAGTCTCTGGGCTAAAGTAATTAGCATGCTGCCCGGCACAAGATCAGCAGTGGGTAAGTTATGAATTCATCAGATCTGAAATCTGAGACCTCAGACTCTCGGGAGAAAGGACTTGGTCTGACTGGGTTGGTAAACAAGTCAGGGAAGAGGAAACAGTGCGTAGGACGTCCGCTGCAGCCCAGGGAAGGAGGCAGGAACCCAGCAGGCGAGAGGACAGGGCAGGCGGGCCCCCTGGGAACCGCCCTCCGCGCCTCCTCCATGCCCCTCTCACACCAAGGCCCATCACTGACTGGCCCATCACCCAGCACTGCAGGTACTACTGACCGAGCATACGGCAGCCGGCTGGGGTCGGAAGGTCAGAAGGGCCCGCAGCTTCCTCAGCCTAAGTTCACAAGGCAGAGGACCAAAAAGCTGGGAGGCAAGGAGGCAACTTTCTCCTTGTTTCTATTTCCTTTGGGTTTTCCCCACCAGCAGCCCTGAACCCAGCAAGTACTTCCTCCTCGAGAGGGCCACAGCTGTCCCACAGACATTATAAATAAGGGCCAGGAGAGCTGTCTATTTTTAGCATCTAAATGTGGATGCAAAGGTCCCCAAGATTCCCCCTTCGCCGGCTCCATTTCCCTCTTTCCTTTCTACACGTCTTTTCTTTCCATTCTAGATGTACATTTTCTGAGCAAAGGAGATGAAGACTTTGGGGGCAAGAGAGATCCCAAATATTTGCTCATCTTGCCTGGTCTCCTTCTGATTGCCATGGATTGGTTTACACATCTAGCCTATGACAAAGAAGTCACCTACAGGCTTTGGGAAACTGCACCGTAGGCTTGGATCCAGACCACTCCGTTTCCTCTCTTGAGAATAAAGAGAGGTTCAGAGAAGGAAACAGCATTGAAGATCCTCTGCCTGAACCTTCCAGGGGCACAGGTGAGGGCAGCAGGGAGGCCTACATGCTTATTACTGTGCACTCGCGCTCAGGCCCTTCACTGGTGTCTGACCCTCTGCGACCCCAAGGCCTGTAGCCCACCAAAGTACATGTCCACGGAGTTCTCCAGGCAAGAATACCGGAGCGGGCTGCCATTCCCTCCTTCAGGGGATCTTCCCTACCCAGGGACTGAACAGTCCCACAGCTCCTGCATGGCAGGCAGATTCTTGACCACTGAGCTACTAGGGAAGCCCATGCTTTGTACCACCGACATCAATAATAGTATTACAGCCTATATTCATGGAAGGCTCCTCTGGGCTAACTACTTCACATGGAGTTCCTTATTCAGTCTTCACAACTCAGGGAAGTAGGATTTCAATTATTTCCCTTTTACAGAAGCCAAAACTGAGGCTCAGCGCTTGAGAAACTGGCCCAGCGTCCGGCAGAGGCACACCCAACGAAGAGAGCCTAACACCCAGATTCCTCGTCAGGAGAGAGGAGGAGCAAGAGAGAAAGGGGGCGCGCTTGACACAGACACGCCGCTGGGTCCGGGCGCAGCTCCCGCTCCTACCTGCCCTCGGGGTCGGCCAGCGTCAGGCTGCGGGTGACGAAGCACATCCTGAGCGGGATGCTCCTCCGGTCTCGGTGGAAGGACGGCGGCTGCGACGCCAGCGGGTCCGGGGCGCCGGCCCCGAGCCGCGGGGACTCGGGCGGCGGGGTCTCCCAGCCGATCTCGGACACCGGCGAGCCCTTGGTCACGTAGGGGGTGGCCTCGCGCATGTACTTCACTGCAAGCAGAGAGCGGACAGTGAGCCTCGGTCAGCGCGGAGGGTCCCGGCGGGCCGGGGCTTTCGGAGACGCGCAAGACCAGCTCCGCACAGGACCCTCTTACATTCCCCCGATAACAGCTGTCTGTCCCTTAAATTAGGTGCCAACGTGGTTTTCAGAACCCGCCATTAAGGTGACCTGAACTTGAGAAACGACTCTCAGCTTTTTTCGATTATGACAACATCTATCTTTTCTGATTATAAGGTGCATTCTGGGGAAGAGGCGGGAAAACAAATGGAGACTGAGAAAGCGTATCTTAGGCAAAAGAAACACACATTATTCAGTATAGGTGTAGGGTATCTGGTGCCCACACTGACCACCCACATTACCGTTATTCTGTTGGGAAGCAAGGACAATCTTTTCAAAAAACAGTGCTGAGAACATGTATGTAAAGAAATACACAGAAAAACACTTATTCTGTAATGGTAAAAATCTATGATGGCAAAAATATTACTTGTAAGAGCTGAAAACCAGGAACAATCTAAATGTCCAATAAAAGAGAACTTATTAAAGAAATTGGAGTGGGCTGCCATTTCCTTCTCCAAAGACACCTTTACGTTCATTTAAAAATGGGTAGATACAGATGTCTTAATGTGGAAAAGCCTGTAAGATCGACTATCCATTTTTTAAAAAGCTATAGAGAACAGTGCATATACTGTAATCATTTGTGTATACAATCATAGATATATATGCTTTTGTAGCTACTACAATTTAGGGATAGAAATCCAAGAAAATGTTAATGGTAGTTAGCTCTGGGAGTGGATATGAAACTCAAGATGATGGAGAAATAGACTTCTATTATTCATTTATTACTCTTTTATATCATTGTCATGTTTAGCCATTGTGTTTTAAAATTTAAAGAAACAAAATTGCTTAAGAGCTGAGTGGGGCAGACTGAAATTCTGCTCTCTGATATGTTTACTGGATCTGAAGGTGTTACTTGGGGCTTCTCTGGTGGCTCAGATGATAAAGAATCTGCCTGCAATGCAGGAGACGTGGGTTCCATCCCTGGACCAGGAAGATCCCCTGAAGAAGGAAATGGCAACCCACTCCAGTATTCTTGCCTGGAAAATTTCATGGACAGAGGAGCCTGGCGGGCTACAATCCAAAGGGTCGCAAAGGAGTTGGACACGACTGAGGACTAAGCACACATTAAGCTATTATTTGTGGATTCTGAATTTAAGCATTTGGTCCTTAGAGAGCATTCGAGTTGACAAGGCAACTGGATTCTTGAAACATGCAATATAAACTTCCATATCCTTCTTTCTGCCACTCACACAGCCTGGTTCCCTGCTGCCTGGGGCTGCGGGAGGGACCTGGCTAAGTCCCTTAAGGGCATCTGGTATTACAAATGGCAGTGGATTAAAATGGATGGCAAACCCAAGGGGCAATTCCTCCAGATCTTGGGCGATTCAGTTGCACAAACTAGTGGCTTCCCTGTAGGAGACACGGAGTCAGGTTCCTGGAGACTACAGGAAAAACAGTACGTGGTTTCCATACTTAAGAGTAACAAAGTCACAGGGCACTGTCGTGGATACTGTTGTGTGCCAGCAGACCCTTTTCTGCAGGACCTGTATCCTAGCTGCCATGTGTTGCTGAGAACCACTCTGAGCTGCTCTCCCATTCTGGAACACTGCTCTTGGACATCAGAAGTGATCAACCCGAGAGACTACAGGCGCACTGCTCCATCCTCCAGACAGAGGATCTGCTTCTCTGGAACCCCACCTAATACTGCGGCATAAAACAAGGATATAAGCGATGGCATAAAGCAGAATAAGCTATAACAAGAAAAAAGGACCCTGGAAGAACTCATCAGAAAAATGCATCTAGGAGTTTGAGTGACAGGTTAGGTTCACAACAATTTAATAAGCAGACCAAACATACCCAGATGCATGCAATATGGGCATATATTGGGAGATCCAATTGTAGATATTAAAACCAGCCGTTATTAATTTAAGACAGAGGAGATGTCATTTAGCACCAATACATATTTGAAAAGATTTCAGGATTTTCACTGAATATAAATGCAATTGGGAGAAAACAGCTCCCTGGTTGCTGCAAACCTGTTAGCACAGGTTGCAGACAGAAGAAAGATTATTCACGAACAGTGTATTTTAAGAAATACCATTTAAAAAGGAGCACAGACATACCTATGAACAAAGGCAGAAAATTCAGTGGGACAGGTTAAGCTGTCTAAAAACTGGAATAAATAGACCTCTTCTGATGTTACTGAATTTTTTTTTTATCTCCGAGTATGTTTTTGTAGAAGCTAGAACTCTGCTTAGCTCTGTATATTGTTGAATTATGCTTATTGATAGTGGGAAACTCAAGTGTCACACCCAAGATCGTTTGACGATTCTCCATTGATTGCATTATTACCCTTCTGGCTGGAGGAGGGGGTGAGTGCTGCAGAAGTGGCAATCCAGGGATGCTTCTTGGAGTGGGTGGCATTTGAACTTGACTTTAAAGGGCGGTTAAGTAGAGGTAAGAATAAAAGTCGTTTTATATAATGTGCATGCATGCATGCTCAGTTGCTTCAGTTGTGTCCAACTCTGTGTGACCCCATGGACTGTGGTCGCCAGGATCCTCCATCCATGGGATTCTCCAGACAAGAATACTGGAGTGGGTTGCCATATCCTCCTCCAAGGGATCTTCCCAACACAGGGACTGAACCTGAGTCTCCTGCGTCACTGAGCCACCGGGGAAGCCCTTTTACATAATGTACTCTGATTTACAATTTTTATCACAACTCCATAGAAAAGGAAAATCAGACCTCAGTCTGGAAGGGGGATAAAGAAGGAACATCCATCATACACTTAGTGCCAAGTCTGGAATCAGGGGCCTTCCATAGCTTCCCGCATGTAAGCTTTAAAATGACCATTTAAAGCCTCACTTTATATACAAGAAAATCAGATCTGGAGAAGAAATGGATAAGAGATCTTTCATTTATCAAGTGTCCATGTGCATGCATGCGTGCTTAGTCATGTCCAACTCTTTGTGACCCCATGGACTGTAGCCCACCAGGTCCTATGTCCATGGGATTCTCCAGGTAAGAATACTGGAGTGGGTTGCCATGCCCTCCTCCAGGGTATCTTCCCAACCCAGGAATCGAACCCAGGTCTCTCGCATTGCAGGCAGATTCTTTACCATCTGAGCCACCAAGTATCTATGTATCCACAAGCAATAAAAGAATACATTTTAAAAGAAAAATACATTACATTGCTATCCATTTCAGACCCTGTTAGAAAGAAACATATGGCTATTCTAATTCTGGGGCCACTAGGAGCTTTACATAGGTTATTCCTTGCAAGACAAATATATTATTTTACACATTAACACACCAATGCTCAGAAATTTAACTTAAGTGGCTAGTGGCTGGTAAAGCTGGGGTTTGATTTCCCAGAGATCATATTCTTCCATGAAATCTGGCCAGCCCACCGAGATGAAGTATTCAAAACGGGCTAACAGGGTTAGTTATTCTTTATTTGGTAGGCACTAGGTACAGCCCTGGTGATCTAGGAGCAAGAGAATGGTAGAACTGAGGGTCAGATTTAGAGAGAACTCCAGAAAAGAGGGGCTTCCAGGTGGCACTGGTGGTAAACAGCCCATCTGCCAACGCAGGTTCAATCCCTGGGTCAGGAAGATCCCCTGGAGGAGGGCACGGCAACCCACTCCAGGTAAGAAAACCCAGTGTTCTTGCCTAGAGAATCCCACGGACAGAGGAGCCTGGTGGACCACAGTCCATAGTGTTGCAGAGCCAGACACGACTGAAGCGACTCAGTAAGCAAGGATGCACCAGGAGAGAGAGACTGGGCACAGCAGAGGGAGAAGATGCTAGATGCTGACCTGCCAGTTACACGACCATCAGCGCTTACTTCCAGAGACACCATGAACACTCAGAATGTTCATACAAGGTGTGAATCATTACAGAAATGTGTGGTTTTGTCCATCATGAGTAGAGGCTGGGGAAGTATAGCAAATCTTAACCTAGAAGCAAACATTTATCAAGCAGTGTGGTTTAATTCAAGGAGGGTAAAGTGTTACCTAAGACTAGATTTTTTTTTAATTTATGTATTTTTGATTGAAAGGATAATTGCTTTACAGTACTGTGTTGGTTTCTGCCAAACATCAACATGAATCAGCCATAGGTTTACCTGTGTCCCCTCCCACCCCCTCCCACCCCACCCCTCGAGGTTGTTACTGAACCCCAGTTCCTGAGTCATACAGCAAATTCCCGTGGGCTGTCTATCTTGTCTACGGTAATGTAAGTTTCCATGTTACGTTCTCCATACATCCCGCCCTCTCCTTCCTCCCCGCAAGCCGTATCCATGAGTCTGTTCTCTACGTCTGTGTCTCCACTGCTGCAAATAGGTTCATCAGTACTATCTTTCTAGATGCCATATATATACGTTACTATACGATATTTGCTTTTCTCTTCCTGACTTACTTCACTCAGTATAATAGGCTCTAGGTTCATCCACCTCATTAGGACGGACTCAAACGCATTCCTTTTTTATAGCTGAGTAATATTCCATTGTGTATACATACCACAGGTTTCTTAATCATTCACCTGTCAATGGACATCTAGGTTGCTTCCATGTCCTAGCTATTGTAAACAGAGATGCAGTGAACATTGGAGCACATGTACTAAGACTAGATTTGACAGTAATAAGTGTATTAAATAATACCGAGATTTGCTTTTCTTTTACCAAAAGTCTAGGGTGAAACAAAAGGGCTGCCAGGGCAACTCTCAGCTCCCTGAAGTTTTCAGGTCCTCAGGCTTCCTGCTGTACATTATCAACCTGCCATCTAATGACTCAACAGTGCTGCTTGGGTTCCAGCCATCACGACTAAATTCCCATTAGTAGGAAGAAGGAAAAAGTAAAAGACACACTATCCTTCTTCCTTCAGGGTCAGTTTTAAGAAACTGACACATTATCTGCTTACAGCCCATCAGCCAGAATTTAGTCACATGGTCACTTCTAGATAGAAATTTACTCTTAACTCTTGACAGCTCTATGCCAACCTGGCTAGAAGTTAATGAGAAGGGAGGCTACTACTGTGGGATAAGAAAAGGGGGCAATACTTAGCTTTTGCCACAAGGAGACAGCCCTAATCATGCCAGCTTAACACAATTAGATTTTACAAGACATGTGCCAAGTTGTTTCAGCCATGTCTGATTCTCTGCGACCCCATGGACTGCAGCCCGCCAGGCTCCTCTGTCCATGGGATTCTCCAGGCAAGAACACCGGAGCAGGTTGCCATTTCCTCTGCCAGGGGATCTTCCTGACCCAGGGTTTGAACCTGCATCTCAGGTTCCTGCACTGGCAGGCCACTTGTCTACCACTAGTGCCACCTGGGAAGCTATAATTTATGTCTCTTTATAAGACATAAACACAAGTGAATGTATTGGAGCAATCAGTGAAAGAAAGAACAACTAGGTTCCTTGAACCCTGCGAAGTGTTTGCTGTGTACTCACTTGAACCTCACAGCAATCCTGGGATACAGACATTGCAAGCATTCCCATTTAACCAGACTCTGCAATAGAGAGAAAGACAGAGTAAATCATACACCCAAGCTAGAAGGCAGGGAAGTGGCAGATAACATGAGTCAAATCCAGGCAGCCTGGCTCCTGAGTCCCTCCTTTTAACCACGGACTGATACTCTTTCTCACACCTTAAAAAAATTTAATTGGGTGAGAGAGAGTGTGTGTGTGTGTGTGTGCGTGTGTGTATGTCTGTGTATTTAAGCCAACATTTTTCTGTACTGGGAGAAAACATCCAATTAAGAGGCTACTGCCGGTAACATAAGAGAGCTTGATTTTGTAAGCCTGAACTATTAAATTATGGCATTTCAGTAAGTGCCTTTTAAGACACTGTAATATGTATTTATAATAGAGGGTTTAACCTGGCAGAACTGAGCAGCTAGTGTCTGCATAATTATGCCTCCCTGTGCTCACAGACAGTAATTTTGGGCAAAGAACTGTTGAAATTGGTCAAGAAGCAGCCAGGCCCGGGCTCGGGGCACCTCATAATCAGGACTGATTAATAAACCATGCCCTTTCTAGGCGTGATGAAGTAAAAAATATGGTTGAGCAATTAAAATTTCAGTCTTCTCTTGCAAAAGAGGGGGAAAAGAGAAGTAAGAAGGGGTCCCCAAACCAATAATGCACCAAAGTCACTTTCATTATGTTTCCAGCTTTTCATCTGCAAGGTGGACAGATGTGAAGGTTTCAAAAAAACAGTCAGTAAAGCCCTTGTTTGCGAAGGCCCTGAGTTGCCACAATTAAATCTTTGTTGAGGAGGCCAGCTGACATTTGAAAGGAAAAGCAGACACAGGCTACTAATGAGGAAATGCTTCAGGCAGATCCGATCGACTCCCTACCAGGCTGGTTTCTGAAGAACCAGCAAGTCCCTTTGTTGTGTGCAAGTTTTCCTCTTAAAAATAGCAACAAAACAACAAAAAAGGGATTTCCAGATTACAGGAAGGAAAAGAAATATTTCACGACTCTAAGGGAACATGAAATGTACATTTTCCAGTGTGATTAAGGGGGAAAGGGATCAGCTGGAGGCAAGAAACCTCAGTTTTCAGACCTTCGGTGAAAATGGGGGACAAGTTGGTGACAGTGGGGTTTGCTGACGAAAACACAACACACGTGAGGCTTCTCTTAAAGCCATTTCCTGGGTCATTTTAGGGAAGACACAGCGGGAGATCATCAATATTTCCAAAAGCACCAAAAAATGATGAAAGAGGTAGAACAGACTTCTCAGGAACTATAGCTGATCTCTCAGGAGGCCGAGTGGTGAGCGGGAAAGAGAGCTGGCCCTGGGTGTCAGGGACTAGTTCCAGTTCCAGCCCGGTGCTCACCAGCTCTCCAGCCCTGGGCAAGTCATTTCACCTCCCGGGTCTCCTTCTCCTCACCTGCGAGGACTGGGAAATAAGGTTCCTGTCCTTCAAATACCCTATGATTCCTTGGGAAACTGCCTCTTCTGACATTCTTGTTTTTTAAAAGAATATTTCTTATCCTGCTCTTTGTCATCATTGACAAACACCCTGTGAAAATGTGTGCCAAACCCTTTGGCCTTAGGCAGATGTGCCTTCTGACTTTTTACCAAATCCCATGGGCAACTGAGGGGCTTCCCCGATGGCTCGGTGGGTAAAGAATCTGCCTGCCAATGCAGGAGACATAGGGCACAAGAGTTTGACCCTTGGGTCAGGAAGATTCCCTGGAGAAGGAAATGGCAACCCACTCCAGGATTCATGCTTGGAAAAATCCCACGAGCCAAGGAGCCTGGTGGGCCACAGTCCACGGGGCTGCAAAGAGTCAGACACCACTGAGCGACTGAGCATGCATGCACACATGCAAACAGGAGAACCAGGGTGTTAAAGGCTCAAGACATAAAGAAAACTTAGGTTAAACGAGAGACGTTAGAACACAGTAGTGAAGACAAAAAGTCTGGAGTCTGAGGAGTCCAATTCCTGTCTTTTCTATCCCCTAGCTCTTGAGCAAATAACAGTTTCCTCATGTGTTATTTTTCACCTATCTCATAGGACTGTTGTGAGGATTAAATGAGTTAATATAAGTAAAAACTGCTACGGACTTCGGGTAGGAAACACCATAATGGTCAGTTACCGTCATCAGAAGTCAGCCAAAGGACTTCCCTGGTGTCCAGGGGCTGAGACCCCACGCTCCCAACGCGGGGGGCCTGGGTTCCAGCCCTGCTCACAGAACGAGATTCCACACGCCACAGCTAAGACCCAGAGCAGCCAAATAAATAAATTAAAAATTTTAAAAAGAAGTTAACCAAAAAAAGTGGAGATTTATGGCACCTACATAACCAAGAGTTGTGCCAAACTCACTATGTGCATCTCTGCAGGCTGGGGTCACAATCAGTGAGCACAAATTACGAGGTTACATTTGAGCTCAACGTGAGGAAACGCTGTGAAGCAGAGTTCCCTATCGTGAGTGACATTCGAACAGAAACTGGATGAGCTATCTCCCATGTGGCAGCAAAGATTCTTTTACTCTGCGGAGGAACAGCTGCTTCTAAAATCCCTTCAAATCGTCAGGTTTTATGTTCCTTCTGGAATGCAGTTCATGAAGATGCAGAATCTAATGACTCTGATACCGTGAGGGTGGGTCATGGTTGTATACCATGCAAAATCATGCTGTCCATTTCTTTATTACTATATGTTTGTTAGCTCCATAGTAGGTGACAATGGGACAGTTTGTTGAGCTATCTTAGAAGCCTCATTTATAAAATGCGGAACACAGTGCCTTCTTCAGAGGCAATAAAATGCACTAGTTTAATAAGGGCTCTAGAGTCAGAGGAAAGGAAAATTAGTTGCATAGTCATGTCCAACTGTTTGCGAACCCATGGACTGGAGCCCAGCAGGTCCTCTGTCCATGGGATTCTCCAGGCAAGAATACTGGAGTGTGTTGCCATGCCCTCCTCAATGGAATCTTCCAGACCTAGGGATCAAACCTGGGTCTCCTGCAATGCAGGCAGATTCTTTACCAACTGAGCTACTAGGGAAGCCCCAGAGTCAGAGGATCTCAGTTCAAATCTTAAATCTAACTTTCCTTTTCTTTCTACTTTATAAGCTGGGCCTCTTTGAAGAAGGTATGTAACCTCTCTGAACCTCACTTCCTCACCTGATTATAACAAGACCTATCTCAGAATTGTCATGAGGATTAAATAATTTTTTTAAATGTATGCAAAGCCATTAGAACAGTGTCTGGCATACACTCGGCACTGGCATTTAACTGTTCCTGCTATGTTGTTGCTATTATTGTTATGAAATTTAAATGAGAACATGTATTGCAAGAATACCTGTCTACTTTTTAACTGCTGCTGCTGCTAA